AGATATATATATATATATATATATATGATAAGAAAAAAAGCGTAACTTTGTAACTAAATACAAGAGTATATTGAAGAATTGATGGATTGCATAACTTTATTTACAATTATCTCAATCCTATATACATACACATACACAAATATAAAATGGCAAAACAGCATATGTGTACATTTCGTTACATAACATTTGTATGTTAAAAAAGCAATAAATAAATGTATATTTTTTCTTCTATATTCAAATAATAAATAAAAATAAAATTCTATTTTGCAGACGAGCTGTTAGTAAATTTCAAAGAGAGATATTTCTGTTCGCAATATAAACACTTAATTATTAAAGAAATATTATATTTTGTTTAAATCTTATTGAAGACTATTTTTGTAATAACATGATACTTGTCACTTTGATATTTATTAATAAAATGTTGACAAAAAAACTAAAAAATATATTCAATTCATATGCCATCGCATAGAAAAGGAAAGGAATAAAATGGTATTCCAATTTAACTATATTTTTAGTTTTGTGTTTAAAATTTGAATAATTTCTAGTTGCTTAAAAGAAAATAATATCATTTGCATAGAAGCAGCAATTATTTCTTATATAGTTAGCCTTTGTAATAAATCGAGAAATAAAATTAGCATAAGATTAAACAGAAGAAAAAACCTCAAATTGTTCTACAGATTTCTTATCTGCAGTTAGATAAAATATGCGATAAAAATTAAATTTGGAATACAACATGCGATTACAACATAGGTTCATTTTAATATCTTAAACGATGATATTGAGATGACGATACATTGAGATGAATACGTTTTCAATCGATTTTTAAATTTATCAATTTACTTCACAAGCAATGAGCATAACACATCGATAAAAATAAAAATGCAAAATAAGCAATAAATACAGGATAGCGCCATCAATTAAAGATATAATTTTATGACTTTTACGCACTTTGTATCTCTCTATCTCGTCTTGAAAGATAAAAAGCATTTTTTTTTCGTAAAATAGATTAGTTTCTTGACAATATTTCTTATTTGTATTCCTTAAATACTGCATTTAATAATGTTTTTCAGTGTTACTGCAATTGAATTAAATATAAATTTGTACATCTATATCTAATGATAAAAATAGAATTTAAAACACAACATGTTATTGCAACATTATTTTATTTTAAAATCTTCGACGATGACATTCAGATATCGATAAATTGAAATCAATACGTTCTCAGTTAAACTTCAAGTCATTCTACTTCATGCGCAATGAGCATGACATGATAAGAATAAAAATGCAACAGATAGAATAGTATTATTAATGAAAGATATAACCTTATGACTTTTATGCGCACTTTGTGGCTATATATCTCGTCTTGATAGATGAAAAGCATTCAGTTATAGCATAGTGTGCATAGTGCATGTTTCATTGTCAAGGCAATAAGATAGCCGTTTCTCGGAATAGTTTGATCACGAAAATAGTTTCCGATTTGAAGTTTCGGCATAGTTTCCGATTTTAATAATAATTATTAAAAGTAATAAAAAAGTCCGATTGAACGTTTTTACGAAATATTAACGTAAATGTAAATTATTTAAATAAACAATAGATTGTGAAAATTATTTCGCCGATAAAAGTGATAAAAAATAGCAACAACCAGCAATATTCTTTGCACACATAATTAAACCAATTATCATTATTGCAATGGAGATTTCTACTCTGCTCTTAACTATCCTCACGGCAAGTGTTTGTTTTTACTATTTCATTGTGAGCAAGTTATCTCATTTTGAGCAGCTGAAGATTCCGCACGTGCGACCAATTCCGTTGCTGGGCAATATGGTTTCTTACATTTTTGGACACAAGTCCTTGATGGATAATTTAGGCAGTATATCCAATTTGTTTCCTGACGCAAAGTACTTTGGATTTTATGAATTTATGAGACCTACCTATGTGATCCGCGATCCGGACTTAATCAATACAATTGCTATCAAACACTTTGATAATTTTTGCGACCACCTTAATTTCACTAACGAGGAAATTGAACCAATGGCAAGCAAAAACCTGTTTGGTCTGCGAGGCGATCATTGGCGCGAAATGCGAAAGCTCCTCAGTCCTAGCTTCACGTCCAGCAAAATGAAAATGATGTTTGGATTAATGTGCCAGTGTGCTGACAATTTCGCTAATTTTCTGGCCACCGAATCCGGGAGTACTGGCAAAACTTATGATATGAAGAATGTGCTGAGCAGATATGCAAACGACGTCGTAGCTACGTGCGCTTTTGGAATCAGCGTGGACTCGTTCAAGCATCCGAAGAATGAATTCTTTCTGCTAGGCAAAACTCTAATATTTAACACATGGATGTCTTTTGTATTTCTTATGCATAGAAACTTTCCGAAAATTTCAAAGTTTATCAATCTAAGAATGTTTGGTTCGAAAGTGGACAAATTCTTCAAGGATGTCGTCACTAGTACAGTAAAGGCAAGGGACGAGCAGGGGATTATTCGACCTGATATGATTCAGCTAATGATGGAGACTAGAGACAAAAATCATGGCCCCGCATTCGACATCGACGAGATGACTGCACAAGCATTCGTCTTTTTTCTGGGCGGATTTGATACCGTGTCGACGATCATGTCTTTTGCGGCGCACGAGGTCGCTGTCAATCCTAATATACAGAGCAAGTTGAGAGAGGAGATCGACGATGTCCTCAAGATGACCAACGGCAAACCTACATACGAGGCAATCAACAACATGAAATTATTGGACGCAATTATAAACGAAACTCTAAGACTTTATCCTCCAGGATTTTTTATCGATAGATTGTGCGTTAAAGAGTTCGAATTACCATCAGCGACGCCAAATAGTAAATCGGTCATACTTAAGCCCGGAGATAATATTTGGTTTCCAGTTTTTGCTTTACACCGTGATTCTAAATATTATTCACAGCCGGAAAAGTTCGATCCAGACAGATTCCTGAATGACGAAGTAGATAATTCAGTTTACATGCCATTCGGTATTGGGCCCAGAATTTGCATAGGTAACAGATTCGCCATAATGGAAACAAAAATTATGCTGTTTTATCTTTTATGGCATTGCGATGTTGAACCCGACACTAAAACCACGAATCCTATGGTATTGAATAAAAGGTCGTTTGTCGTGATGCCAGAAAATGGGTTCTGGTTAAAATTGCGGACGAGGAAATCGACGGTTCCTGTCGCGTAATTCTTGTCGAATCGATATTGAATTTAGAATATCTATATGTAATAATGTTTACTTCAAAAAAAGGTTATAGAATTATATTTAAAATAGTCTCTATGAATAGTCTCTATGAATTATTATGTATTTAAAGTGCCGTAATTATGGATATGATGTATATGATAATAGTATCATGCAGGGCAATAAGTAACATTTTTTAATAAAATTAGTTCAGTTTTTTATGTCGCAATAAAGACTTGCGAATTGTTGGTAAATCAATGTTCTTTCTTTATAAAAAGTATCTGAGAAAAAGTGTATATGTATACACTAATCTTAATATTTTTCTACGTAAAATGAAGAAGTTTCTTGACACTTAATTTTTAATTTAAGTATTAAACATAAAAGAAGCTAAGAATAAAAAGTTGTTTTGCAGCTGATATATATCTTTTACTTTGACAAATGAAATAAGACATTATATTATATTAATTAATTTTTGGAGTATTATGAATGATCTTATGAATTATAACAATCATAATATTTTATTAGTTTTGATATACAGTACTTATCGTGTAAAATCTTCATTTCTGTATAAATCGAATTGTAATAATTATTCTGTAAACAATAATAAATATTAACTATCTAGTTTTTATTTCTATTATATAGTCAATTTTTTTATAAAATAGATTAAAAATTATTCATTATCACTGTTATAATTAGTATTTTTATAATATTTAGATAAAATTTCAGGTGCAGTGTTTTTCATTCTAAATAACAAGTGTGATATAATGTTAAACAGTTGAATTAATTTTATTATATTATTTCGAAATAAGACAAAGATTTTGTAACCTATTATGTATTTTGCATTTTTATTCTTATTAGTGTATCATATTCATTGGTCGTGAAGTTGACTTAAAGGTCAACTCCAAACGTATTCATCTCAATGTATCGTCATCTCACAATCAGTATCATTGTTTAAGATATTAAAATGAAACAATGTTGTAACCATACAGATATGCTAATGACGTGGTTGCCATATGCGCTTTTGGTATCAGTGTGGACTCATTCAAGTACCCGAAGAACGAATTTTTTCTACTTGATAAAACCCTGAACGTCGGCGGCTGGCAGTCATTTACATTTTTCATGAACAGAAACTTCCCGAAAGTTGCAAAATTTTTCGGACTTAGAATGTTTAGTACCAGGATAGACAATTTTTTCAAGGAAGTCGTCACGAGGACCGTGAAGGCCAGAGACGAGCAAGGATTTATTCGACCAGATATGATCCAGCTAATGATGGAAACTAGAGACAAAAATCACGGACCAGTGTTCGATATTAACGAGATGACCGCTTAGGTGTTTATCTTTTTCTTAGGTGGATTCGATTCCGTGGCAACGGTTATATACTTTGCGACGCACAAGATTGCTGTTAATCGAGACATACAAAATAAATTGAGAAAAGAGGTCGACGATGTTCTCAAAGAGACTAATGGCAAGCCCACTTATGAAACCATCAACGGTATGAAGTATATGGATGCTGTGGTGAACAAAGTTCTAAGATTTTATCCGCTGGCGGCTTTCCTTGATAGATTATGCGTCAAAGAATTCGAATTGCCACCAGCTACTTCAGACGGCGAACCGGTCACAGTCAAACCTGGAGATAGCATTTGATTTCCGAGTTACGCTATACAGCGTGATTCTAAGTATTATTCGCAATCAGAGAAATTCGATTCGGACAGATTTCTAAACAGCGAAATGGACAACTCGGTGTATATTCCGTTCGGTATCGGTCCAAGAATTTGTATAGGTAATAGATTCGCTCTAATGGAAATAAAAATTATGCTGTTGTATCTGCTACGGCGTTGCGATGTTGAACCTGATGTTAGACCAAAAATCCCATGATATTGAACAAAAAACGTTTATTATGAATGCTGAAGATGGATTCTGGTTAAAAGTGCAAACAAGAAAATCAGCGGTTCCTTTTACAAAATAATTATTGAATAAACATGGAATTTAGAACATTAATAATGTATAAAATTTACTTAAAGCATTAGAATTCTATTCAAAATGATTCTTATAAATTAATTATTAGAATGTCAAAAAGAAGTACAAAAATATATAAAAGAAAAATATCTCGAAAGGCAATAGATAAAAATGTGCTCAGTTTCTCTCTCGCGACTATATCAAAACTTTCATAATTTTTGTCTGAAACAAAACAATCGTACAACAAACAAGCAATCGTACTTTTTATTACTATTAAAACAGTTGAATTACTTTTTTTTCAAATTTTGCAGAAAAAATTTCTATATTAGTAAAAGTTACGAACAATAATTTTACATTGAATATGTATTTCGTATTATCCGAAAAAAAGTAGGTTAATATTATTAATATTATTAATATTATATTATATTTAATATTAATAATATTATTAATATTATTAATATTATATTATATTTAATATTATTTTAAATAAAATAAAATTACCGATCCTACAATACTAAATTTGTTATAAATATAAAACAATCAATTAGTAGTGCAGAACTATTATTGATTTCTCAATTTCAATTCGCTAAAAAGATGGTATCGATTTTCCATCAGCAAAATTTTACATGATGCTTACTGTCGTAATTCTTTATTTTTGAAGTTAAACATATTTTAATAATTATGTTTTAAACGCGCGCGCGGAAATATTTCTGTGTGTGAAATAAAAATTTAGTTAAGATAAATATTTGGATTTTATTGAAATCACTCTGAGTATATCCACGAAATTTAATTTAATTCTTTGTTTGTGATGTATCCCTTTTTAGGCCATATATTTTGTATGAGCATAGCAACGCTTCGAATAAAATTTATTACCACCACGCCTTCATTGAGTTCTTAGAATTCACAAAACATTGTATACAATAGCACTCAGTACATATGATTATTTGTAAAGATGTACAGTAAATTCTATAATAAACTTTACATAATATTTGATTAACAACAAATAATCAAATTAAAATATTAAATATTTATTTATTTGTTATGCAGAGAGCATTGCATATAATATTTTATAACATTTTAAAATCTTTAATTCAGTTAGATTGATATACAATCATACAAATTTATTATGAATTTCTATTTTCTAAAAAAACTGCAATATGTATTGAATCTGAATATAAATGAAGATTTTACACAAAAAAATTACCACGTGCCATAATAAATTGCAACATTTGTACTTTACAAGAACATTTATAATATGATAGATAAATGTAACCGATATTTTCACTTTATCGCTGCATAGTTTGTTATATTAAACGTATTAAATTAATGTATGTAAATAAAACGTATAAAATGAAACATTAAACATAAAACAAAGTAGGTAGTAGAAAGACGCGCTTAAGTGCAATATAATTTTCCCTGAAATTTCTATTTTTGATTTTTACTTGCAGTAACTTTATATCAAATGTTGAAATAAGATCTGCATGACTAGCCTCGAGGGATTATAATTTACGAAGTCCATTTAATGCACAATTTTGCATTTAAAGTATCCTTCATATATTATGAATATGTTTTAGCTCTGCACTCATTTTCGCGTTTGTTTAATAAACATTCATACACAATAAGAGTCCTGTATTTTCTCCACAATCTCAAAAATGCACTTTCCGGCATCACGAAGAATGCTTTTTTGCACATCGCTATAGAAATCCAAATCTTAGCGTTGGCCTAAAAATTATAACGTCATGATTTTTGTTTTTTTATCAAAGTGAATCTTTAGGCTATACAGAAATTTTTTAATGTAAACTTGTTTCTTTGACTTATCTATTTTCTAACATATTAATAACAGACTATTGTAACCAACCGAAGTCTTATTTTACACTTACAATATAAAAACCATTAATAATAATATGTATATAGCATGATAAAAAGCTTAATAAATTTGATTTTACTGATATTTAGATATATTATTTAATTAACTTTTATTTGTCTGCAATGTTACAAGTGGCAACTTTGAATATCAGCATGTTTCCTTTGCTAAAGTAATAGCGACACAAAGAATGTCGCGTCTTTCTACTACCTACTTTGTTTTATGTTTAATATTTAATTTTGTAATTTAATACGTTTAATATAACAAACTATGCAACGACGATATGTTTTCCCTCGCGTGAATTTTACAATGACGCGTTAATTCGCAAAGAAATATCTCAAGATTTGCGTCGCAATCTTTCCGTCCCTGTATCCACCCATCGCCCGCGATATCAATGACCGAGCAGAACCATATTCCACCGCGACTCACGATATATACATCGATAATACACACCCACGAACGATCATAAACAGTGTGCGGTAGGAAGCAACAGTGTGCGCATATGTCGATTCGTAAAGATGAATGACGGTTGGTTATATAAGCCAATGTGTGGATATTTATACGTTGGTCGAAAATAGTCGACAAACTGCATTCACAGAGGCGGCATGGTCCTCTAATACGCACATAGATAGCGGCACACTTTATATATATAAACTTTATATATATGTATACATACATATATCAAATAAGTAAACATGTGTGTGTGCGTGTGTGTGTGTGCGTGCATATATATCTGTCGGCGCAACAATATATGAAATCGAAATAAAAGTCTGTTTGACGAACTGAAAAAAAAAATTGGTACGATTTTTTAATTTCTATTCTTTCTAAACATGGCAATTTTCACATTTTATGTTTTATATTGGCGTGTTCTCGATATCATTATATCTATTAAAATTATAAGAGTTTGATGTTGATCCTCAGTCGAGGCATGTCATGTCTATTTTCGATGTACAACTTGTACACGTGTACTTTTTTCCTAATTTTTAATACGATATCTTTTAGGAGTTGCGTAAGTGAGTAGACTATTTCCAGATTTGTTGATGTTTCAAATTACATATGCTCGCTTCGATGTTCCACTTGTGTGAATAGCATATATACACGACCGATCGCCGGGAACCCAATATTTCAATGTTTACGTATAGAGATTTATGATAACATACGTGTAAAGAAACACTTCTAATCGATATCATGCGAATGTTACATTCCGAATTTCAAGGGATTTTATATATCTTCACAAGCAATAAATTTCATATATTGTTGCGCCAACAGGTATATATGTAGATATAAAATGTTTACTTATTTGATATATGTATGTATCCGAGAGAAAAAAGGAAATAATATTTCTATTCTCTATTCTAATTGTTTCAATAACATTGTGCAGATCACGTAAAATTTCCTATCGTACATCGAATTAAATTCTCTTTCCGTTTTAACATACTATAACTTTTCCAAAATCAAAATAAGTCTAATAGTTATATATTTAGTAATTATCCACTAATTTTCAACAAAATATATATACACACACACACACACACATAATTTTGTATAAAAACTGTCATAATAAATTATATACGCGCGCACGCATCAACTGCATAGCAGTTTCAATTAATAGAAGATATCCATTTATATACCAACGCAATCATTTAGTAGGTTAAAGCTTTTTAAAGCAGAGAACACCTTATATATATCCCTTCAAAGTTATGCGGAATTAATTTAATTCTTATTATATATTTAATTATTATTAATTAATATAAATAAAAATGCGTTAAATTGGTGTTAAAACTGATGTTTCTAATTGAAAACATATTAGCACCTAAAAAAGTAATAGAAGGGCCCAAATTAAAATTTTTTGCTCTGTACAAAACAAAGTTGAATCCGTAAGAATCAGAATAAAATCTTAATTTGATGTAAAAAGAACATCTTTTGGAAGAAGTGTCGTACATCATAATACATGCACGCGTGAGACATTAAAATGCAATTAGGAAAATTTGAAGATAACTCACCAGGTATTTACGGAGATTAAGTTTGGACTTTTTGGCAGGAGCGACTGTATGGCAGTGACCGGTTGAGTTTGAACTGAATTGCCGCTTTAATTTGTTAATATTCAGTATGATCATGATATTCATCGTCACGATGCACACGAGCGGCGCGACTAGACTGAGTGTAGTATCTACAATGTTGACATCCTCCATAGGCGCGTGATAATCGGGATTCAAGATGCACATAAAGTCGTTCCCTATCTTTACCAAGCCGGCAGTGAAGAAGCTGTATGAATGACCAACTAACGATATGACGATTTGTCCCCCGATAATAAGCTTTATACGTTGAACACTGCACAACCGCGTAAGTCGTAATGGATATTGAATAGCAATATATCTTTCAACGGTGCAACAGGTGATCAGCCAGGTATTAAGGGAGCTGCAAATTGAGCTGACGTACACCACTGCTTTACACCAGCTATCGCTGTTAAACATGCGATTATCGAACATGTTATTTAACCAAACTAAACCCAGAGTGATAAGATAACTGAAATCCACAATGCTGAGCACCGTCAGAAAATAACTGGAACCATGGTCTTTTACCTGTCTACTGACAGAAAAAACACACACAACTAAGTTTCCAAATAGACCGAATACAACTATGAACGGTATGTAGTATGTATGGCAGAACTCCAAGATAAGGAACAAGATGTGAAGAATAAAGTGATTGTCGTAATCTGTCAGCATCTCCGAGCTCTTCTTGAGACTGTCATTCGTATTGTTTGACTCGTTAAAGTACATCTCGACTATTATTTGTCGAAGACTTTTTACTGGCAGGTACAAGGTCATTATATTTAATATTAACAGTGATTTATATTAATATTATTAATATTTTATATTATTTATTTATATAATTTAATATTAATATTAACTCTTAATTGTCACGTGTCGCAGCGAGCAGAATTGTACTTATTATTCAACTTTTCACACACTCTTTATAATTAATTCCTTTTTCCCCTATCTTTTCTATCGTGTCACTGCACGCGGAGAAAATTTAGACAAAGATTGAAGATATAATATAGCTTTCTGATGTAATAGTGCCGCGCTGAATTTCCGCAGATATTTTCAAGAATTTCCACCGTCACCTTTCATCCGATGAATTCTTTTACAGTTTTCAGTTAAAATTCCACAAGAGATTCCTTTTCTTCAATCCTCCTAAGTGATCTCTTTAATGCTTCTAATTTAATTCTTCTTGCTGAAGCACCGATTTCTTTTGTTGGATAATTGAACTATGAGCTCCAATTAAAACACCATCAAACAAATTTACTTCTTAAAGTACATCTCGACTATTATTTGTCGAAGATTTTTCACTGGCAGGTACAGGATCATTATATTTAATATTACCAGTAATTTATATTAATATTATTAATATTTTATATTATTTATTTATATAATTTAATATTAATATTAACTCTTAAACGTCTTTTTTTTCAAACTGTCTTTAAACTTTTTCGCGAGGCGAAAAAAATGTCTTATCCACTTAGACTGACGGATGATATAGAATGTTTTAAAACGTGCGTGTCATCCACCCACGCAGAATGTTCCTTTTAGCGAATTACTGATGATCAAATTGTTTTAGAATTTGACAGCAAAAAGCACTATGGGAACAATTTACAAATTATTCAAGCATAAACTGCAAGAATAATATTGGCGGTAATACGATGAATATGTAATACCGTTGGCGCTTTTAATTTAAATTCTCTCGCACATCAAAGTGCTTCTAATAATTTCATTCAATAATCAAGCTGCAATGTGCGAACAGCAATTCGATCAAAGAGACTCCGAGTATCCTCGAACGATCTATCACAACAGGTGAGAATAATATTTTTTGCGAACTTTATATTTCAGTGAAATATAAGGAACTGAAATGCATACGCCCACGTACTTCGATGCGAAAGGTCGTCAGGTTAACTGCAAGCGCGAGTTCTAAACGCATCTGTATTAGTCGAAAAGTTTTTCGCATGCGCTCTATAGAGAACCAATCGATGCTCGCCGTCGTTGCCGCCGCGGGTGACGTCGTCGCCGTCGACGCTAACGTCGCCGTCGCCGCCGACGCCGTAGTCGGCTGTGTCGCCCCGCTCCGGGTCATTTTTGTCTCGCGGCTTCGAAGAACCGATTGCAAAAGTAGAGCATCGTGTTCTCTGATCCCGCAACAAAGGGATGTAAATGAGGTTATCAGTATTTTAACGTTCTTTTTCTCTCAAAAACATATAAAATTTTTACAATGTAACAGAATATTTTGATATATACTAAAATTGTAAGTATTATTTAGAGTTAATAGGATTTTTATATAAAATTCTGTTTCAAAACTCGCATGTACAAAGTTATAATACTTTTGCTATTTGAAAAATAATTTATTTGAATTTTGATTCGAGATAGATCGATTTTTTCGATGAATCCATAAAAGAATCCACGTCACATCTATGTGAAATTTCCGGGCGTCCCTATTGTAAAAGTATCCAACCGAGTAACTTCTGTTTGAATAAAATCTTTGTTCAATGACAAGTAGACTTAATTTGCTTGAAAATGGTCAAAAGGTTCAATAGCGTTTTAGTCAAACCTAGAGATATTTACATGTTTTAATAAATGACATGTTAATTCTCGTGACACGTTAATTCTGACACTTAATTCTCTTTCTATCTATTTTAAATTTATGGTTTTGTTAAATTATAGGGGAAACATATTTAATATTAAGACTTTAAAGAAAGCTTATTAATTAAATTAATTGTTAGCACTTCTCTCTTGAATTTTTTTTACACGCACTGGACACGTTATTATGTGTTACAACACGTTATGTATTTAAAACTCGTTTCAGTATTAAAAATCTGCCTAGCCTGCCTAAAGACCGTAGGATTCTTACTACAGTCATTGTGAAACTTCGGAAGACCCACCCAGGGAGAAATACAAGTAGACGCAATAGACATCTAATTAACGTTTATAATAAACATCTCATTGACGTTTCTTCGACCCGTATTCCTCCAGCTTTTTAGATAATTATCTACAAAACTGGACGTGATGAAGCAAAACGGCTTACGAATTTAGATTCAATGACCCAAAATCTATAAGAAACACCTACTCTGGTTTGAGTTTATTTCCAAATTTTTTTTTTGTGGTTTTGTGTAATCGATTAATCATCATGTCGAAAGAAGATTATTTCTATCCATTTGACTGAGCCGAGCGAAGGATTTCGATGTCTTGCCGCGCGCTCGTATACTTGTGCGAAAAAAATGGGCTGTAGGCTGCTTCGAATTTCGGTTACATTAGGCTCGCCTCTTAAATTTTAGAAAAATTCAAAAATAGGAAAAAAATGTTTAAAAAAATCAATATTATTACACCAACAAAAATTTAGATAAAAACAATTTAATATAGTATGCCTTTTAGATCTCTAGAATAGTTTAATCAATACTAATTACTATGTTCAACGTATGTACGTAACTCTATTTTGGTGGTGTGATTTCAATCATCTTTGCAATCAACTCTCCACGTTAGTTTTCCAATTTGTATGCAATGGCTTCGTTACTAATACAATTCTAGTTGTACGCTGTTGAGCAACAACAAATTGCTAGTTTATGTGAACAACACGAATTACCGTTTACTAGTGAATAAATTAAATTATATATGTAGGGAAATTAATATGTAAGTAGAATTATGCAAATAATACATAATATGGGCCAAAGAAAACGTGCCATCTTGTTTATTATGTAACCGATTGATTTGTGGAAAATATACCAAAATAACGAGTGTCAATTTTATTTTTTTCAAAAGTAAATATCTATTAAAATTATACATATATCTTTTAATTATGAAATAAATAGAAATTGTTTATTAGTTTATTATATTGTTATTAGTTTATTTATATATGATTTGCGTAATAAATAGTATAATATATAAGAAGTTTTATTGAATGCATGTGTTATTTTCAGTTTTTAAACATTTACACACAAAGACTTTTTGAACAATTTGGAGAAAGTAACAAATAAAATTTTTAACATATATATTGCTTCCAAATTGACGAGAAAACAAAGCTTTATTAACGTCTTTAAAATTTAATTTATAAAAACATTTTTATGTTTAATATAAAACACTTTTGTGCAATCCATTATAACAGATTATAATTCATTATACACTACATTAATCCATTATAACAAAATATTTGCAATCGTTTATATTTGATTCTTTTTGTGAAGCGAATTTAGCATAATATTAAATTCCTCTTTAACAAAGAGTCACAAAAGAATTTTTTTATTTAGAATTTAACTTTTAAAGCACATGGAATTTTGTTTTAATTAATTAAATAAACAGATTTTTTTACATTAATACACGAATAATAAAAGCAATATATATATAAAAATAAATTCAATTTTAAAACAAACTTTGTGCTTAGCACATTCTAAAACAGATCCGAAATGGCAGGAGTGACGGATGCAAAACAAACTGTTTTACAATCACTATGAGCATACCTATTTCCGAACTCATTCCACATTCAACATTGATTTGTGTGGACCTTTGTTCCACGATAAATGCTTTTGTTTTACAACTGATCTGGTTTAGCTTATCGCTCTCTGTACTGGCTTTTTGGCATTAACCGAGATAACTACATAGCAACTAATTGGGTTATCCCAGATGTATTGAAAAAATTGCAAATTATTCTTGCTTATATTTTATGAAATATAAAAGTACAAACACGCAAAAATAATTATAAAATAATATTTTGTTCCTTTTTAGTGTTACGAAGTCTTAAAACATGCGTGTACAAGCCTAAAAGGTCAATCACAACCAAACGGCAAGCCATTCACATCAGTTGTCACATATGTATTGAATCCAAAAGCTGTAACAATAGCACAACTATATGGCGAATATGATTCCAATACACACGAGTGGTAAGTACATATTGTACATATCTTATATAGAAAATCTTATGAAATGCATACTAATATCGAGAGTTTCGTAAATCATGGGGAGACCTCTAAAATAAACATAATATTAATACCGAATGCATTTCACGTTTACAGGACAGATGGGATATTGCCAACTTTAATACGAACGGATGTAGCAGTAGTGAATCCTGACAAATGTTGGTATATTTTTGACGGACCGATCGATACAGTTTGGATCGAGAATATCAATACCATCCTGGACGATAATAAGAAGCTTTGTCTCACGTCCGGCGAAATAATAAAGTTACTACCGACTCAAACTATAATGTTCGAAGTAGCGGATCTTCAAGCAGCTTCCCCGGCTACAGTTTCCAGGCAAAGCTAATTTTAATAATATAAAATATTATTTCTTTATTGCCATGGAACATATGATATTGCTTATATTATAATACTACAATAGTTTGCGCATCAGAAGATTTCGAATAAAATTTAATAAACGTATTGCTCATAAACACATTAACGGAATATTGTCAACTTTAACAAAGCGAATAATAATAAATGCATTCCTATTTTTCGATCGAAATAATTACAAGGGATTGTATTAATTAAAATATTAATTAGAAACTTGTAATTTATACGTTTTTATTCTTATATGAAACAGATGTGGTATGGTGTATATGGAACCGGAAAATTTAGGTCTGCAACCTCTGATCGATTGCTGGATACGATCATTGCCAACGGTAAGTTATTATTTTTGATATAAAAATATCCTTTTAGCTTATATTATTTATTGAGAGACATGGTCGTCTTGTACCAAGTCACGTGCAACAAACAGTGAAACGTTTAAATAAGAGTTGGAAATTAACAGGAAAATATTAATTTATTTTAACAAGCGCTATTATCGTTTAATTAAAATCGTATTTGATGATAAATAAAAGTATTTATTTTTTAATAATATATTTTTTCTTATTAAATATTCACTAATTGCAAAATGTATTATATATTTTACAAATTATGAAAAATTAATTATGTGTGTTATTGAAATAAAATTACTGTATTATAAAAATATAAATTTGAATTAAATATAATTAATGTTTAATTTACAATTTATCAATTTTTAATAAGCATTTTTAATACTAATATATTTTTCAATATTCGAGTTAAAAGATTTCAGTCATTAAGGTATATTTACATTTTATGTACTTTGTCAAAAGAATTAATTTACATAACATTATTACTAAATGAAATGCATATAAAATTCTAATATGTAAAACGAATCCTTACATTGAATGATTTATAGACGATGAACGATTATATCGAGGAAATAATCAAGTTATCCAATCAACTGGTGCTTCCCGGTTTGAAGATTATACGTGAGAGCTTGCAAGAGATCGTGGATATCGTAGATTCTGCTATTATTCAATCTTACATAAATTTGATGAACTTTAGAATTGGATTAATAACCGAACGCGAAGAAAAAGCACCACTGAATTTCGCTTTCCAACGAACTATACGTACGTTTTTTTCTCATAATTATCAGACCGACTGAACTACTAACAATGCAACTGCAATATCACATACAAGTCAAACATCATAAATGATAAGTACGCCATAGTGGAAGCTTTAAGTTGCTTCGAAGTTACATTACGCAATCACGGATGCAATAGCCGCACATGCAAAGTAAAGCTAGCACTCGCAATCAATATACTCGGAGGTATGCAATATTGTAAATGCAAACGTATCTATTTATCAGTTCTGTACAATTTGCAATATGTAGAAAGTTCGACAGTAAAGATTGAGCCCGGCTCTATAAAAGATATAAGCTCGTACAAGATATACATAGTTTAATAAAATATTCAGCTTTTGAATAGTTTAATATTAGAATAATAATATATTAGAGAGAGAGAGAGAGAGAGAGAGAGAGAGAGAGAGAGAGAGAGAGAGAGAGAGAGAGAGAGAGAGAGAGAGAGAGAGCATAATTATGTGATCATTGCAAAATTAAACTAGTACGAGCAATTTTATATTATATATAATATTATTCGTTTATAATAACATATAAATATAATATTTATTAAAATTAAAACTATATTTATAATATCTAAAATATTATCATTATTTTTAATTGATTGTTGTAATAATTTTATATCGATTTCTCTCTTTTTTTCTTTCTCTCTCTCTCTCTCTCTGTATCAGATTTAATTAAATTCTTAGTATCTTATTTATCAATGAATTGTAATTATCTCGAATGACAATGTATTTCGTATTATAGAGGATTTATTGTCACCGTGGGCAGCTTTTGCAACCGTTTGGGGATTGGGTGCTGTTTGTAATTATGAAAGTCGTTGTATATTTAGTGACTGGCTGAGAAAAGTACAAAAGGATGCTCAACACAAAATACCGTTTCCAAAAGATGGTCTTGTGTTTGATTACAGGTGCAAATATTATATAAAATTTTATGTGATTCGAGAAATAAGTAAATTAAGAAATAAAGCACATTGCAACGTATTTCTCTTTAGAAATTATTTGCTTGAAAATTTTATACAGACAAATTTATTACAATACAAATATTAAATAAAAATAATTTTAAAAAATAATAAAAAATAAACAAAAATAGATAAAACACAAAAATCCAAGAAAAAAAAATTACAGAATTAAAATTTGATATTTATAGACAGAAATAATTTAATATTACATTTTTGTATTATTTTTTAAATTGTATCTTACTTTTAATTGTAATTTTATTAATGAAATAAACCCAAAATATTATGAAAACATTTAAAGTAATTATTGTCACGTGTAAAAATTAAATGCAACAAATAGAATTAAATTAATTTAAATGTTTGCCGAGACGAAATATTTTTCTTTATATAAAGAAAAAGAAGAAAACTTTTGGAAGCAATATCTCGTGAATAATTTATATTAAAGGAGTAAACTGCGTAGTTATTTGTATATATCTTATTAATTAATCTTACAAATTAAACAGAGAATAATATATAACATAAAAGTAGCGTAATATATTTAGGTTACACGATGGATTCACCGACTCCATCGACGGTCAAGAGCCAATTTCACCTAAATGGTACAAGTGGTTGGATGGCATTCCACCCATCAGAATAACGCCGGAAACAGAATACGCCGGTAAATTGTATCTATTCCGCAGTCGAATGTTTATAATCATATAAGTATCTTGTTATTTCATTATATAAATTGTGAAAATGACGACAAATGACTTGAAAATATATACAAGGTAATTCAAAATAACCTGATGTTCTTGCAAAACCATATTCTTGAGCGAATTCTGAGACGATTTTTAATTTTACAAAATTTTGTCCAAAGCTTAGTTTTCGAGTTATAATTGAAAATAGGTAGCAACTTGCGAGTTCGGTACAACGAGCAGGCAGGGACGCGCAACGTATAATGAGACTGTCAAGAGTTTACTATCGTCTCATGACGCATTGCATCGTCCTTGCCTGTCCGTTGTATCAGACTCATAAGTAGCAAACTATTTTCAATTATAACTCGAAAATTAAGTTTTGGACAAAATTTTGTAAAAGGAAAAATCGTCTCAGAATTCGCTCAAGAATATGGCATTGCAAGGACATTAGGTTATTTTGAATCACCCTGTATACAAAAATATCGTTGTGCCTTTAAAATTGATCAAAGATTTTATTGATATAAGAATTTGAAATCTCTATGGAACATCTTACAGCACATAAATTAATTAATATACAACATTTTATTCGGTACACTATTAATCTTTGACAAACAATGCTTTTACAGATATCGAAATTCCAACTATGGACTATGTGCGAAATTCGGTGATAATTGAATATCTTCTGATTAATGAAACGAATATACTCTGCGTGGGTCCAACCGGAAGCGGCAAGACTTTAACGATATCAGCAAAATTATCGCGCAGCATGCCAAAAAAATATATTTGCGATTTTTTGACATTCTCGGCGCGAACCACGGCAAATGAGACGCAGGTACCGTAAGAAAGCGAATTACATATTTCTTGTACAGGAAATTGGATTGATTAGTACGGATCTATTTCCACGCAGGACGTAATTGACACGAAATTGAACAGGCGACGTAAAGGTATCTATGGGCCGCCTATTCTAAAAAAGCAAATTTTCTTTATTGACGATTTGAACATGCCGACCTTGGATACATGCGACGCCCAATCGCCTCTTGAATTAATTCGTCAATTTATGGATTTTGGCGGTGAGTAAATTAACGAAATTAATTAAAACATTGGTTTCAATAAAAAGTATCAAGAATTACAATCTTCTTTGGCTTGAGATTCTCCTGCTATTCCATCGTTTTGAAATTTGCGAGCCTAAACATCAAGTTATAAAATTAATTAATTTATAATAACATGCAAAACTAATATTAAATTGATACATGCAATTGCATATGTATAATCATATTTAATATAGAATAACATAATCGCTAATATACTTTTTTAAATCATAAATATGTCAATCTTTAATTATATTTATACTTGACTTTGATAGACAGCTAAATTTTATAATATATTTAGAATGAATATATAGCATTATTTCTTTAAATTCTTTTTTTGATAAAAGAGAGAAATAATTATCGAGCAATATTGCGTAATTTTATATTATAAATAATTCTATATTATTTTTTGCTTTATATGGTATAAATTGCATAATGCATAATAAAGGTTAATGAATAATTGTCATTTCCAATGCCGTAGCATCGTTAAATACTTTTTACTCGAGAGATTCGCAATCTTCGTATTTCCTTCGTATTTCATTAGAACCTTCGTTTAAACGATTTCCTTGAAGATAAATTGTATCACGAAGTAAGTAAAATCAACTCTTAAATTAATGAAAACTTTAATTTCAATCTTCCAGCGCTCTCCGTGCAAAAATTTTCATTGAAAAAAAAAAAATTTGTTGAATTGTATCAATAATCCAAAATTTAATTGATGACAATTATTGTAATGCATACAAAAAGTAGAGCATCTGTATATAAAAATATATAAATTATTAATATTAATTTACTCGATTAAAATACGTGTGAAATGTTAATTCACAATGCTATTAAATACTTACTCACTTACATTCAGAATTCAACGAATCTTAATAATCCACTTCTACGGTATAATGGCCCCCAAGGCAATGTGTATTATCGAGAACGACCTTTTACGTAGACGGAATCCGATATCATGCATTCCATTCGATTTGTACATTCCGTATAAAGACCAGATTAATATATTTTTCCCACAATATCGGATAAATTACACAGCCGTGGAATTGTTAAAAGATCTGATATATTATCCGTTAGATTATGCTCTCATCTTATTGAATCAAGTTTCAACAAATTAAGAAATGTTTTGCGATTTTTATTTTATACTAGCATTAAAAAAATTTGTTTTATTAAAATACCAGTCAGAGAAAATGATAGTCATAGTGTATATTGTGCAATACAATAAAACGAAAAATGCGTAATAAGTAAGTTAAAATTTCAATGTGTTTTCTCTAGGGTGGTATGACAGAAAGGAAATCGGATCTTTCAGATTGATCAAGGACGTAAATTTTGTCGCAGCAATGGGATTATCCAGAGGTGGAAGAAACCCAATAACTGCTAGACTCTTACGACATTTCCATATTATTGCTTTTCCAGAGATGGAGGACGATGGCAAAGTAAGTTCGCACGGTATTTGCGAAACTGCGCGTTGAATACATTAACGCTAATTGCTTACATTTATCGACGGTCGCCCGTAAGAAATTGGTCATTTTATTTTCATCTGGAAAAAAATGTGAAATTTTTCCGAGCAAATTTTGTACGCTGAAGTCATAATTTTCGAATAAAGACGAGGATTAAATAAAATTTGCAAGATTTCAAGCATAGCTGTCGACAGACACGACAACACCGTCATCATGTGTCAAATAAAAAGCGAAAAGGTTTAATGACGTTTAGTGACGTTTACATCACTAAATCCCTAAATCAATCTTTGAAATTGTATATTTTAGGTGTAACAATAAAGGTAAGCCCCAATCTGCAGATAATAAATCAAAGATAAAAATAGTATGTAAATAGTGATTTCTGTGAAAAAAATGCTTTATGTTTTCATAAATCTATCCTGTTAAATCTATCATGATATTTTTCTTTATTTACAAATAGTAATAATAATTTTTTTAATTGTTATTACTTGAGATTCTAAGTTCCCTTACTTAGTTAATGTGTGACAAGATATTCCTTTTTTGGAACCAATCTTTCACAAAGCCTTCTTTTTTTTCTTTTTTATTTGTAAATATATTAACAGGGCATATTTTTTTCATATAACACAGATTTATGTGACACGGAACATATCCCTCGTGTTATATTGTATTTTTATCAAAGAAAATTACATTTTTGATACAAATCTATTGACTCAAAATTTATTAAAGAAACTATAGTAAAACTATAGAAGTAAAAATTGTCAATAGACTTCAAAGACATCTCATATAAAAAGGATACACATACGCATACGCAATCTCATAAGAGAAATTTAGAACCAAAATTTTTGTCATGTAATATTTAGCTTTGCATTTCCACTTATTCTGCGTATTGAAATTTAAATTTAAAAAAAACTTCAAGCATTGGCCCTCGAAAATAGCTTGTCGAAATCTTCCGACGACACAGCATCTTGTTACACCCGGAACTATACGTATACGACACGTGTATTTCCTTGCACTGCGTCGTCAAGTTTTCTTCCGTTAAATCGACATCCACACCCAGGCGCATAATCGCAGTTCGTAGAAAAGAAAGAACACCGTGACACCGTAGCTACATTGTTTGCCTTGCTCCTTTATGCCCATCGCAATTAGACGTCGTAAATCGTGACGTACCGACCATAATTTATCATAATTATCTACTCCGTTGATATAATGGAGACTATAATCCCTGCCGACTCCGCAAGACTCCCTTCTGTGTACGTTTCGATCAAGGTCGGTGAAGCGGGTCCGAGTGTTGGAAATATTTATGTCAAATATATTTATACTCTCTGCGGAGTGTTCTTCTAATTCTGCGGTACATTTTGCGGTTATATAAAAGCCACTGGTTGAATATTAAATCAAGATAATGATATAATTACCAAGATTATTATCATTAAGATAATAATACTATAATAAGAGTATTATTACTGTATTCAATAAAATGAGATAAACGAGATAATAAAGTAAATTTTAGTAGAAACGTAGGCGGTAATTTTTTTTTAACATGTGCGTACGGTTTTCTATTATAAGAAATTTAAATTAACTTTTCTTTCACCATAAATCAACTTTCACTACTTTTCAAATTTTAATATTAATTACTCTTATAATCTTGAAATTAAAATTTTACTAAGGTAAATTCTGCAAAATTGTTTTAGAATTAGTTAAGACAGAATTACATAAAAAATAAACTTTAAAAAAAAAATTAATTAAAACTTGTTCAAAGAATTTATACATGCAAAGCAAAATTATGCATTTACTGTTTATATTTTTGTTAAATAATAATTTAATACTTATAAAGTTAAAAATAAATCTAATCTAATGAATTTAATCTAAGTTAATTTTATATTTGGCTTGTAGTCGCATATCTTCAGAACAATCTTCAACTCGTGGCTTTCAAACACACCGAAGCTCGGAAATATGCTGGACGATATAGTAGACGGCACTTTGAAAGTTTTCACAATTATACGCAGCAAAATGTTACCCACTCCCAACAAATCCCACTACACTTTTAACCTTCACGATTTGAGCAAAGTGTTCCAAGGTATTCTTATGGCGGACGCAAGAAAAATGCTAGTTAGTATAATTTTCCAATATTGTTAATTTAAAAATCTGTATCTCATTTAAAAAAACAGTTCGAAACTAATAATAAACTACTTCAATAAAGAAATGTTGATAAACCTGAATAATTTTATTCTATGAAAAGAACTATTCTCGATAAAGGAATATGTGCTCAAGTGATTAAAGCACGCGTATAGTCAGACGAATCTACCATTCGGCTGTGGCTCGTACGTGCGCATCGCTCGTGGCATTGTATGAGCAATATATCGCTATTGCGAAGTTCAAATAAAGCAAAAAAAAAAAAATAACTTTGTTTTAGAAAGTAAAGCAAAAAGAAGCATATCGTTCAAATGGCTTCATTTGGCGTGACAAAAAGGTCACTCTGTACATAAATCGATGAACGTTGTTAAACGCTTTTAATTCTTTTTCAAACTGCTTTAAAAGATAGATGATTGCACGGTTATAAACCAATGTCATACTTTATCCAATAGCTAGTATGAAATTGAATGCGTCATGCGATTCGTATCAAGAAGCAAAAACACGTGTTTTAAAATTATATCCAGTAAAAATCGACACGTTTTTTATTGCTCATAAATTCGCGTATTTCGTTAATTTAATTTTAAAAGTATTATATAATATTTATACACATTTAATTTGTCTTTTTGCACAGACTCGCGAGAAGCTGTTATTACTTTGGTATCATGAGAATATTCGAATCTTCAGTGATCGTTTGATTAACGATGAGGATAGAAAATGTTTAGAGCAATTCTTACGGAATATATTAAAGGAGAAGTTTAATTGTGATGCTGATAATATTATCGGGACAAAATCATTATTTTATGGTGATTTTTGCAGTACGACGCGAGAATATGAACAAATAACAGATATGAAAAAAGTAATTTACTATTTATAGTTTAATAATATCAATTTAATAATTAATATGTAATATAATAAAAATTTCTAAGTTATAATTTTTAGTAATTTAACAATCACAAAAATAAAATGTATGTTATTTTAATCTCTTTTATGTATTAATAGATGAAAAAAATTCTGATCGACTTTTTGGAGGATTATAATCATTCAACAATGTCGCCGATACAATTAATATTTTTTGAAGATGCTATGAATCACATTTGTCGAATTATGCGTATTCTTCGGCAACCAAGAGGAAATGCTTTATTGCTAGGAATGGCTGGATCAGGTATGCTTATACAATCTTTCTATAAGACCGTGTCCGGCGAAACCTTTGCCTGGAAATCGTTAGACAAGAAATTCTAACGGGAGCAGATAGAGTAACGCACCTCCCTCTAAAATGCTTTGTAAAGAAAGCCTCAGTTAGCCGGATGCAAATTCCAAAATGTTTGGACATTCATGAAGCTTAAGCTTTGGAAGGTCAAGCAGCTATTTCGAGAAATTTGATTGATCTAGAGATCTTTATTTCAAGAATATGCCACAAAATTAGTGGAAAGTGTGCCTCGGATGCCAGGCAATTATTGATAATGGAGGTGACTGGACAAATTATTAATAATAAAGCATCACGGTCCTTATCAAGTAGAATGTGTGTATTTTTTCAGTTTATTACAATAAGTAGTCTTCGAGTCATGCCGGACACGCGCTTATCAAACAGATTGTGTTAGATACGTGCAAATAGAATTTAAGTATTTTTATGTATGACTAATAATAATTGAGAGAGAGAGAGAGAGAGAGAGAGAGGAGGGAGGGAGGAGAGAGAGAGAGAGAGAGGAGGAGAGAGGAGGAGGGAGGGAGGAG